TGTTTGAAAATCAATCCCAACAAAACTGATATAACTCTTATCAAATCTACCAGAAGACGATCTCCGTCTCAATTATCTGTTCGTTTTGGCAATGCAACTATCAAACCTTCTCCAACAGTCAAAGTGTTGGGGATGACAGTAGACGGAGGACTCACATTCGAAGCTCACGTCTCAAGCGTGGTGCGGCGCTGCTATGCCACACTCGGTGGTCTCTCAAAAATGACCGGCAAATTGCCCGAGATGGTGAAAAAAATGATAGTAGAAACGCTGATCTTTCCACACATTTCGTATTGTTCCACGGTGTGGGCCGGGTGTACCAAGATCCAGCGCCACCGTTTACAAAAGGTTATCAACCACTGTGCGCAGGTGGTGAAGGGCACCAGACGGTCTGCCCATGTATCACCACTGATGGCAGACCTGAACTGGCCATCCATTGACTCAATGATCACTGAGCGTGATGTTGCACAGGTGCATTATTTGCTTTATCACCCTCAAGCGCCGTCCAACGTAACCCAGGGCATTGTGCACCGATCCGATGTCTCCACCCGGGACACCAGAGCCGCTGTGGCTGGTGCGCCTGCAGATTCCCAGGGTAAACAGTGAACATGCGCGGAAGTTTTTCTTTTCCCGCGCGCCCGCCCAATGGAATCGCGCCCCTGCCGGTGTGACAGGGGCTCGCTCAGCAGCGCTGTGTCGCAAAAGAGCGAGAGACTGGCTGAGGGAACGCGACTGATATGAATGTGTCACTAATGTGTCTTCAAACATATACTTTGTGCTTCCGTATGGGTGTTGTGCATTTTAGTGTTACTTTTAGCTTTCGTATGTGTATTTTATCTTTGTATGTACTTTGACACTTGTCCCGAAAAGCCATTTACCATGGATGGACATAAGAATAAATGATGATGATGATGATGATGATACAAAATAGCAAAATAAACAAAGAAAATATGCCAGAACCTGGCGGAAAATATTACCTGGCGATGATTAGAGAGGGTCTCACTGATCACAAAACCGGGGCGACAGGAACAAGGACAGAAAATGAGCAAAATCTTCTCAATTCTCTGCGAATTTTTTATGCTGGCTCAGAACGAAGGCAAAGTCCATGGCCGAATTTTGAATAAAACGGACACCATTCGGTGCCACTGTCAACCGTGGTAGTGTATAAGCGATAACCACCGGCCCTACTAGACCCTAAAAAACCGGGAACAAGAGCTTGGTGAGCCTGTTCTCAGCGGTTCTGGGAAATCAACATAAATAGCATCCCACCAAGATACCAGACATCCGCGAATTTGTAAATCAATGAGTACCGTTTTCTATTCACAAATCCTCATTCCCCTCCGTTTTCCTCCTCCGTTTGTATAATGGATCGTCTGGACGAACGGCCATGACCTACCCAAACGGCCGCGACCCTAACTGTGGTGTTCGGTGGCCACCAACACCTACACAGATAATATCCCAGATACCTATTAGGAATGTGTATTGCTGCGGCCTAAGCAAGGAGGCGAACAGTAGTATGCATACGGTGTTCAGCAGTTTCCAAAAATTCACCAAAACCTCTCTCAATTACGACAAAAGACGGCCCGACCCGTGGTGCTGTCGCTACCGGCAGCGACCTACCCAGGTGGCGACCCGTGATGCTGTCGGTGTAGTCTCGTGACCTCCCCCGATGACGACCCGTGGCGACCCGTCCCGTGATGTTATCGTCGTGACCTACCCAGATGACGACGCGGTCCTCTGTGCGTCCGGCGCGCTGCCTCCACAGCGGCACCGTCTGGTTCTGGTTGGAGATGAACACCGCGTAGCAGTAGGGCAGCTCCTGCGGGTACTTGTCCTGCACGTGTTGGCACAGCAGCCACACGTTCTCCTCACTGTGCGGGAAACAGGAAAGGGGTGGGGGGTCAGAGGTTGGTGTGTGCCTGTCACCGACGGTGTCCGGCGTGTTAAATCTAATTGTGTCGTAGTTCATACACATCAGACACCATGGTCTGCCCATGGCACAGTTGATTAAAAGTAGGAAATTACGAAACATCACCATGATTAAATATGCTTGTGATGAACCTTACAGATAATTAGTAGACACCTCAGAGGCCCAGAGACAAGGCTGGCAATCATTCATTTGGGGGAGTAAAAACATGCCCAGAGTTTCAATCTGGAAATACAAATACAGTATGGCTGATACTCACACCAAATTAGTATAGTACTTTTTTGCAAGCATCCAGAATAGTCACAAGCTTAAAGGTTCTGTCATATACCTAATGTCACCAAGCTTGAAGCTAACGTCAAGTATGACTTACAGTTAACTTCAAAATAAAATGCTCATCCAATAATTGGCATTGAAACATGGAAGGACATGGGTGCCTGATTGCAATCTTACCAATAGTGTAAGGTGTGTGTGCATTCCTTTGCAGGAGGAAGAATTGCTTTGATCTTCTGCCGCTCCGGACTCTCCATTGCCATTGCGTGAAGTTGAGATGTCTGAAAATCATAAAACAATGTGCATTAGTTAATTAGAGTTATCATCTTCCTGAAACACACAAATATTCAAGAAAACATTTAATGTAAAAACATGAAAAAAACAAAATGTGAATGGAACTCAAACTGTGGTATCTCTTAACTCAAATTGTGAGTCAGCTTAAGGGTTAAGAATTGAAGACATTTTTCAAATGATGATCGGTACAAAAGTCCTTACCGTCCTTACATTGATCAACAGAAAAAAGATACTCAGGGAATTTCTGAATTCAGGAAACTAAAACTGAACCTGACCCATTCAAACATTCCTCTAATTCAAATTGCGTTTCTCACTCTGGAATACGTTACCTCTGATAGTTCACTCCTCGAATTAGGTAACTGACTATGAGACACCAAACACAGGCACAGAACCCGCACAATTCCTCAAAAGCAAGCACGAACCCAACACAACCTCCACCACCGCTGTTCGTGTTGTAAATGAGCCCGGAAGACAACATACAGGTGGCAGCACAATCAATGAGAGTGCTGCCATATGAAGTTATTTCTTGAAGGTATTTTTTCCGTAATTCTCTAAAATGCCTTTCCCACACCAAACGGTTGAGATAGCGGGCCAACCCAACTAGATATACCGAGACAGCGATCCTTCAACTAATCCTATCAAGGAATGACCTGTCTCGGTGGGCGCCGAATGTGGTTTTGACTTTTGATGTCTTCAGCAAGTCACCAAGCAGCTGGAACGGGAGGCTGGGACGGGGCCCGGCGAATCTTGGGACGGCGGACTGGAATGAGGGGCCAACGGGATGAGACATGGGAGCAGCGGGATGGAGCGCGGAGACCGGCGGGCTGGGACACGGACGGGAAGTGACAGGACAGCGGACAGAACGAGGGTAGGGCGCGGTGTGGTCCTCTCTGGGACGAGGGCTGGAACGAGTGCCGTTCCCTGTAGCAAGCGGGGTGAACCGCCAACCTTGCATGACAGTAGGCCGGTGATATCGCATAAGAGAGGGGTTGTTCGGACTTCGGATAAACTCTTGGAGGAGAAACCGATAATCTCAATCTGTTATTGTTATTTGCTAGTCACTACCTAAGCAGTGTCTGGGGATTCAACTTATTACACACCCCGGACGGCAAAACAAAGTTACAGTAAAAGGGAAGCAGTGAAACGGAAAAAGTTGTAACGGAAGACGCATTGGCATTGTAGCGCAATGAACGGTTACGCATTTACCTGACGTAATGAGTATACAAGACTATCGATTTACTTTGTATCGTGCTTTGATAGAAGTGTTTCGATAACTTTCAATAGACGTTTAAGATGTTTGATAAGTGCTTAAAGGGAACCTCCCACCTTAACATAGTTTTGAGTTGAGATAGCCAAGTTTGCGGCCAGGCTCAGAAACCACCATTTATCCTGGTCGCAACCCCCGCAGCTTCATGGGTTCAAGAAATTTCTTCCCTACTTGCAGGGTGGGACCAGCGTGGTCCCTATCTCTTAACCATTACGGGAATCTGATGACGTCATCAGGCTTTCGAACGTCCGTTAAATGTTTGACTAAAACGTTTTGTAGCACGCGGTGGTATATGCTGCTTTGCGCGCAAACAAATGCCGCCTTTCAAATAAAGTCGCTAGGAACAGCGGAGATCCCAAAAAGTAAACAAAAGTAAAAGTCTAAATCTTGAAACGGTGAATATTTTTCGATGAAATGGTAGATTCGTTTTTGCTCTTTCTGAACCAGCGACAATCACTTTCATGCCAATCATTAAACTTTTTTGAAGGTGGGAGGGTCCTTTTAAACAGACGTTTAAAAAATGTTTCGTACTAGCGCATAAACAGGCTCAACGCCTAAGCAGGACGTTTGAATATTTTTGATAGTCATTATGGCTAATCAAGCTTTCATTGATGTGACAGTACACTCATTAATAAGCGTCGAAATAAGCGTTCTAATAACCTCCTACCAAACGTTTCAATAAACGTTTTAATAACGTTTCAATAAACGTTTCAATAAACGTTTCAATAAACGTTTAATAAACGTTTTAATAAACGTTTTAATAAACGTTTTATAAACGTTTTAATAAACGTTTTAATAAACGTTTTAATAAACGTTTAATAAACGTTTTAATAAACGTTTTAATAAACGTTTTAATAACGTTTTAATAAACGTTTTAATAACGTTTAATAAACGTCTAATAAATGTTCTTATGGACGTTTCTATAGGCGTTCTTATGGACGTCCTCAAAACGCTCTTATAAGCGTTCTAATAAACGTTATAATAGACCTCTTATAGGCGGTTCAATAGGTGATTTAATTGACCGTTTCTATAGGCATGTTAATCGCCAGTTAATAGACGTTAGTAGACGGTCAAAATAGACGGTTCAATACATGTTCAATAGCCCGTTTAATAGCCTCTTCAATAGAGGTTCAATAGACGGTTCAACATACGTCATATACGGTTCAATCGGTTCAATAGACGTTTACAACGGACACTTACGCAGACGTTTAAATAAACGTCTGATCGACATTTAACGATATAGGTATTATTGTTATACAACTGGGATGATTTCAGTCCTTTATGCAGACAGAAATTAGACAAATGAATATGATGAAGGATTGATAAATAACATGAATCTAAAGCAATTATACGGCACCGAACACTTGCAATTCACAACGCATCGCCGCGACACACACACCCGCGGGGGGTCAAGGCCGGTCTGCGGCCGTCCCGTTCCTGCTCTCTGGCGGCCCGCCCGGTCAGTGCCCCGGGCTAGGGACAGCTCCTACCGCTCCGACCGATCTCTGCAGGTCACCGGCCGGTGACCGCGGGCGGACACCGACCGGCCGACCGGTAGCCATGTCTTGAGGTGGGTACAGTTATCCTCTTCACCCCCAACCCCCAACCCTTACAAAAACATACCTTCCTGCTAGACTTGCATCTGTCTAGTGTCTCTCTTCTTACTCCCTCTTTCTCGCCCTCTCAGGCACCCTCTCCCTCGCTCGCACGGTCCATAAGATCGATGGGGTTATTACCGGTATCTTACGTCTGCCATAGGTCTCCAGAAAGAAGAATGATGACATTGCCATTTGCCAGTAAATATCCTCAGTATTGTCGAAGCCTACCGTGTAACAGCCGTGGTGCGACTCCGTATGCCTACTTCTGTTTGTTCCGTTTCGATTTGCTCGGTCTCAGAAGCCCACTCGCTCGCATCAATAATACGAGATGCCGTGTGTTTCTATCATCGATTGCTTTCTTATAGCGAGCCATCACGTCCGCATGCTCATTAGGAAAGATTATCATCTGGTGCGCTTGTAGGTGCTTCTCTGATTTGATTCATCACTGCTTCAGTGATTTTCGTTAGTTGCTATTTATAGTTACCTGGATAACTTCGAGCATCAGTAGCTTGATTTCCAGAACTTATTTTATCGGTCATATTCTTTCGATGCTCATAAACCATTTCTGTTGTTTTTGTTTGCTCCGTGCAACGCAGTCACCGATTGCAACTGGGCCGTTGGCAATCGAGGTCATCCGGCGCGGCTCACCGCTGACGGCCGTGTCTTTTGTCCGTCACACCGAGACCTACTTTTCCTCGGGCCCGGTCCGACTGCAACCAGACCTGACCTGTCAGTAGATGAACATACTGCGCCGCCGCCGCCGCGCGCCGTCAGCTGCGCCGTTTTGTCTGTGCGCCGCGTCGGCCGTGTTTTGTGCCGGTCGCGTTTTTGTCGTGGCGTCAATAAAAACATGTCGACGCACCGGCCGCTCGCGCGCCGCCGCCGCCGCCGCCGCCTCTGGCGACGACGGTCCGTCACCTGATGAGAGCGGTCAGTGACACGGCGCATCGACACGGCCCGTCCCCTCATCGGCGACCGCCGCATACTCGCATAGGTATCGAGAGGTGGCGCGGAGATGAACGGCAGAAGGATCTGACCTCGGCCCGATATCCACGTCCACACTGCCCCTCAGGCCTCAAGCGTGGAAACTTCACTGCCGCCGAAGAAAAAGTGAGAATGGTGTTCATGTTTACAGGTGTTGACGATGCATTCAGTAACAACCGAGAAACGGTATACAATAAGCCCGGATTTCGAACTGTTAGCGTTATCATTTGAGGACATGCTCGTTAGCAACAGGCCCGTGTTTATTAACTACTTGCACGTTTATTCATCAGATTATATTTATGTCGCTTGTGGTCTGTTGGTAAATAAATGAAACTTATACACTTTGTTGGTTCCTTCCGCTCGTCTGCCAGTCTCACAGTTGGTTACTATTCTATAGGCCAAGTATACTTAATGCAAAGGAATAGAGGGTCAGTGAAATTAATATAGCGCATTGAGGTTGTAAACCTTGGCTCATGTCCATAGTATGATGTAACGTCCTTTCCAGAACGCTTGTGTGGTGCCTTAGCGCCAAGCATCGTAAACAGGATAACGACCAAACTACCATTTCGCACAATCACCCCGGTCTTTACCGCACTTCCGTAAGCAAACAATTTAGCGTCACTAATGAATTTTGTAGTGTTTTGTGTTGTCATCTGTTTAAAATGCTTGTTTTCTTTGTTCATGTATCTTCGGCAAGTGCCAGGTATGTGTGGCATTCGGTCAGATACAATCGAAATAGAACGAATTAAATAACTGCGGCAGATCATCCCTATAGCTGAGCCGTCCTTAAAATCCCTTAAAACCATAGCGAAGTTTTCACGTGTATTTACGATGCATCTTCAAAGTAAACACAAAACCACCATCAACACAGTCTTTATAAATCGAGTCATCAACAACTGACCACGCAAAAATAATATCCCATCTTCTATTTCATGTAGTTCATTTGCTTCTATCACAACATGGTAACTACATATTAGCCACGTTTACACTCTTGGGTGACTCAATCGGTTAACATACTCGCATTCTGTCAGGAAGATCAAAACAAGCATCTCTTATGCTCGAGGACATCACTCACACAACTCTCACACAATATTAATCGCAGCTTTGGCATGGGGACCGAGCACTTATAAGTACTGATATTATCCGGACCTGCGATCGGACCGAACACCCGCTCCGATAGGTCGTCAATCGAGGCACCTGAAGGGGGGGGCGCAAACCCCGCGTTCGTTGAGCACTAAGTCACATGAAAGCCCATCTACTTACTCTGTCCGTTCAAATAACGATTACCGCGGAACAGACAGCCTTGCCAACGCGAAACTGGCTCACTACTCGGAACAGATGGCGCTGCTGGCCGGCCAAACGTTCCTATAGGTGTCGCCCCCTTCACCACGACGGCCTTTCAGAGGCCATCGAGGCCGGTCTCAAGGCTACTGCCGACATTAGACTAGCTGATAGTGGGTCAGACAAAGGTTACAAGCACTAACAGCACGACACTGGCAGGAAGAACTGACACCTCACTGATGAACAGCGCCAAACCCGGAGATAAATAACAAGGGACGGACGTCTATCATGGCCACAATAGTCTCACACGATAAGTAAGC